GTAGTAAACCATACTTGAAAGTCTGAAATACTTCCACTCGGCGGTTCATATAGCTTTGTAGGTTTTTCGTAAAAGTCATTTGCCAAGCATAAGAAAGAGTTTTGGGCGCCAGAAAATGAAGCATGAACAATAATAGCATCTTGGTCGAAAACATTTTCATATGTTCCATTAGGGTTTTCGACTTCATAAAAGTTCGGGTGTACTGGATATTCTGCAGGCTGATTTAACATCCTCAAAAATCTATACCATGCCAAGTTGTTATATTTTGTAGAAATATAAACGTTTTCTCCAAGGTCTTCTATTCTATTGATTTTAACAGTTGCATTTTTCCTGTCATATATAATATCGAGATGGTACTCTCCTTCGTCAATGTTATACTGGTTTGCATATTCGAGATAGATATCGTTTATTTTTTCTTGAAAAGCTTGAAGAGTTGTTTCTAAGTTTACAAGCAAACTAACTTGTAAAAGTTTTCCCTGTTCAAATTTCTCATACATACGTTTTTCTTTGTTATAGTATCGAACTTCAAAACCGACCGTAAATGGGAAACCATGTATGGCTTCTGAAATGAACTTCATTCTACGAAAGCCAATAGCTTTTGTGACGGATGGGTCTCTTAACCATCTTAATGGGTAGTCAAAACGATAGCCTTCATGCTTTAGATTGTCTATGTCAACCTTTTGACCGACATTAGTAAAAAGTTCATCTAATGGTTTAGTTGTAGCAACTCTTGAATTTTCTTTTTCTATTGGAAGCATATTTTATCTAGAATAAAAATGTCGAAAGATATTGCTTCCATGAGAGAAATACAACACAACCGACAACTCATTATGCAAGCTCTAAATAAGAACACAACAAACTTTTCAAACTATTCTAAGATATCTGAGTCATTGAAAGAAGGAAACTTAAAACTGACATTAAACCCAATGACAGATGAGTTTCTGTTTCAAGACAATAAGAACCATACTGTCTGTATAAATCCAACAAAAGGAACTTTAAACGAGAAACCTATAAATGAACTTCTTTTGAAAGCAGATGTTGACAACAAAGCTGACAAAGAATATGTAGACGATGCAATAGCAAAAGAAGAAGAAAGAGCTGAAAACGAATATTCTAAAAAGACTCATATACACTCTATATCTGATATTACAAACTTACAAGAAACCTTAAACAGGAAAAGTGACGTTGGACATACACATTCTATATCTGAAATAACAGACTTAAACGTTAGCCTTGAAAATAAAGCGGATAAGGAATGGACATCGGAGACTTTTAAAGTTAAAGCCGATACAGGATGGGTTTCAGGATGTTTAGACCTTAAAGCAGATAAAACTTATGTTAACGATGAGTTAGAGAAGAAAGCAGATAAGACTCATACACATACCATTGCAAATATTACAAACTTACAAGAAACCTTAAACAGGAAAAGTGACGTTGGACATACACATTCTATATCTGAAATAACAGACTTAAACGTTAGCCTTGAAAAGAAAGCAGATAAGAACCATACACACGATTTCTTCGCAACTGTTGGTATAGAAAATATTGAAGGAACGGTTGAAGGAGCTGATGGAACTGGTGGGGATGTATTGTATTGGAAACCTCCTAACTTTCCACAAGGTTTAACATCGGAGGAAGACATAACGACGATGAAATACATTAGATGTAGAAATGTTTTTGTCATGGAGGATGAACATAATATTAAATTCACTGCTCAAGATTTATATGACAAGAAAGCAGACAAAACAGAGCTTCAAACATTAAAGACAGAAATACTTCAAACATTATATCCTATAGGTTCTATTTATACGTCAATGAACTCTACCAGACCAGAAGTAGTACTTGGTTTTGGAACTTGGACTCAAATAGTCGACAGGTTTTTGTATTGTGCAAACTCTTCAAAGGAAACAGGTGGAAGTAAAACGATTTCAGGTGAAAATTTACCTGCACATAGTCACTACGTAAGTTTAAGTACATCTCAAGCAGGTTGGCATAAGCATAAATTTTGGGATTGGTCAGCAATGAAAAAAGGTAAAGGATATGATGTTAAAGACGACGTTCAGTTTGCTATAAATTGTTTCTGGGGTAACACTCAGGGAGATGGAAACCATACACATCGCGTTTCAGGGTATACGCAAACAACGGGACAAAGTAAAGACTACATGCCACCTTACATGACAGTTTACGCATGGTATAGAATTGCTTAGTCGTCATTTTCAACTTCTTTAGCATATTCGTCAGGAGTTGTCTTATATTTGTTAGGAACTGTCTTTGAAAGTATACCACCTTGAACTTTGACAAGTTTGAAATGAGGTCTGGCAATAGTAGTTTTATCTTCTGCTTGCAGTGTGTACATTTTGCCATGTTTGCCTAAAACTTCATAATATTCTCTTGTATACTTTCTTCTATTTTTACGAACACGAATGTGAGTACCTGTCGGGTTCCTATTGTTGTCATAGTCAATAGTATTTTCATATGGGTCGCGTTTAGGTATTTCTATTTTTACTTTGTCACCTTTCTGAAGTTTGAAGCCCGGCATTCTTTCTTGTTTGTCTCTTTTGACTAAATTATTAAATATATAGTCTTTCTCTAAGTCAGGGTTGTTTTTCATTTCTTCGGGGGAGTGGTTTCCCAAACCTTTTTGTTTACGGTTATTGTAAATATTTAAAACTTGTCTCATCTTTGCCTGGGAGAAGTGTCTATACTTGTCGTCATATGACATTTCATTTGCTTCACCACCTTGTGGTTGGTTTAAGTCTCTTAACATTTTTATACAACCGTCAATGACACCAAGAGCAGAATGGTTTTGGTCGACAATGAAATATTGGTTTACATTTTTTGAACGCAGATAGTTTTTAATATCGTCTGATTTGAAAGAACTTTCACAGTCAGATGTCAGTTTTGTTGGATGGTATTTGTCAACGAATATTGTCAAAGCAGTTTTTACATCTAAAATATTTTTGGACCATAATGGTATGGCTTCACAGTATCTTGTGTTTTGACCAACAAATATTAACCAGTATGGAGGTCCATCTTCTCTATACCTCGGAATGTTTTCCAAGATATCCATAAACCAAGCATTTGGTGTTGAACTAAAGATTTTTATCATGAGTGCTTTCTTTGTCGCTTTAGAAACATAGGGGTCCTTGTTTGGATTCGTCATTTTTACCCTATAAGAAATGGGTTTATTTGGCGCATTAGCAGGAGTTGCATCTAGATTTTTACCCGCAGTGGGAACAATAGCCAGAGGTGCATTTGGAATTGGAAGGAAGATTTTGAGTACATTAGGTATACTTAAGAGAAAGCACAACCTATTATACAAACTGTACAGAAAGGTTGGGATGTAGCACGAGATGCAGCAAATCTTATTCCAAATCCTGAAACAAGAGGAAAAGTTCAAGGATGGATGGACAATGTAGGAAGACAAGCAGGAAACTATTATAACAAAGCAAATGACTACTATAACCAAGCAGGACACTATATGGACCAAGGTGAAAGATTCTTTAACAGAGGATATAACCATGCACAACAGTGGGTAAACAATAACCAACCGCAACCGCCTCAAACGTGGGGAATGTAAATTTTTTTACTGAGATGAAATGAACAATACAGCATTGAGACAAATGGGTTCAAGATGGATTTGTCGACTTCCAGCAGTTAAACCACCACGTGTTTGTCAAGTTCTTCCTATACCTCAGGAAGTTTTAGACCGACTTAAAAAACAACAACAACCAGTTGAAAACAAACCAAACTAAAATTTTTTACTGAGATGAAATGACCGAAGAAGTTGAAACGGTAGATTTGACACCACAAACAAAAAGTTCAGAACCATTGTCAAAACCTGTCAAAGAACTTACAGATGAAGAGAAAAATTCAATAATAGAAAGTGCCAGGTCTGGAAATACAAACCCTAACTACAAAGTCACTTTTCATAGAAATGGAACGGCTAGTATCTCAAAAAAGAAACAGACTCTCACAAATAAAATATTGAAGTCTGAAGGAGCTTTCGAGACAACAGATGGAAAAGTTTACTTCACTGACCAACAGTTCATTATAGAACATCTCATTGACTTAGAGTCGAAATATTCTAAACTTTACAACAAACACAAAAAGTTGAAAGGAAAACAAAAACAAATGGCATATGATATTTATGAAGATGTTAACGACACAACTGTTCCTGCAAGTGAAGTAAAGTCAGAGGAACCGAAAAGTGACGAAAAACCGATAGAAGAAGAAAAACCAAAAACTGAAGATAAACCAAAACCAAAGTTTAGTTTGGAAACTAAACCAAGTCAACCTTCATTAGCTGGTATGGGTTGGCGTCAAAGACTTATGGTAGCAGGCGGTTATGTAAAGTAAAGAAAAAAACATTTTTTTATTTTTAAAAAATGCCCCCATATAGAATGGATAGAAAGTCTGCTAGAATAAAAGCAGAGTTACAAAGATATGGTTGGAGAGTTTCGAAGAAGTTTAAATATAGGAAGGGAAGACCCATAAAAGTCTATGACAAATTATCTGGTCTTCGCTACGAAATGGATTTGGAAACAGCACGTGCCAATTATCCAAACAGACTAGAGAGGTTAGAAGAAGAACGTCTTATGAACATGCCTTTCGATGTTAGTGAACCTCAAGTTGAAGGACACGACGGCTTTGCCAGATTCTACTGGAAACATGACGAACAATTGCATCCTTTGAGAAGGAAAAAAGGTAGTGCAGAGGATGGTCATGCTCCCATGGAAAGAACAAGATATGCATATGAAAAGTATCGTGAAGTTAGAAGTCAAATTACATCTGGTCGAACCTTTACAGTAAACTTTGACGAAGGAAAGAACAAAGAAGGCTTCATGGGTGTACTTGCTGCAATTCAAGACGGAAATAAGAAAGGATACGATCTCAGATTGACCATAACAGATTTGGAGGGTCACATTTACTATGCACATGGCAATGAACAAACAGCCGCAAAACTTCTTGACGCTTTCAAGACTACAAAGAGAGAACAAATGGTTGACTCCGACTCAGACATTTTGAATGCAATTGAAGGAATTGCAAGTGTCAAGTTCGAATGGTACCAACCTAACCCTCAAGCAGTCAGACAACATGCTGGATACTTCCCCTTCATAAATAAGTCTGACATTGACTTGACAAGGTATGGAATTTACAATTCAATTGAAACAATTGTCAATGAACCTTGTATTCTTACATGTCTCAGGAACTCTGGTCTTGTTACAGAAGAGAAGATGAAGTATCTTGAGTCATGTGTGAAGACAAGGTACATTCTCAGAGGTCAATTGGCAAAAATTGCACCGTTGGCAAATGTCAATATCCGAGTCAACATACCTACAGCTAAAGGTTCTTCACATGACGACTATGTTGTTGAGTTCAATTTACCATGGTTGAAGATTGTAATTGTCCACAACCACTTCATGTTGAACGAAAGTCTTACAAACCCATTGTTCGGAAAAGGCAAGTGCAACATTGTCAGAGCTGTAAACATTCTTTTCGAGAAAGGTTTGTTGGAACCAATTCCAGATGACAAGCTGACAGAAACTTTTGTACCAAAAGACGAAACAAACTTTTCATTGTTAGCAAGACCAAAAGTTGTTCCAGACAAAGTTCTAGTACAAAAGAAGTACACAGTTCCACAAGGAGTTGGTATGTTCGGATACCAACCTGAACCAGAAGAACTTCCAATGAGGTTGCAAGAACTTCAAGATGCTATAAACAAACTTCCATTGAGACATCCAATTGACGTCAAATTGTATTGGAGAGCATCTGAGTTAGGTCAGAAGGTTTTATATGAAACAGGTTGCTTCGACGATGTTTATGAGATAACAGGAGAAGTTTCTCAGAAGATAAGAGACTCACTTGAATTTCCACAAACTGGACCAATTGGTTGCGACAAGTTCGACTCAGATGAAAAGATATACTATGTCGACCTTAACGCTGCATACATGAGATTTGTCCAATATATTCCGACTGGAATTCCAAACGAAGATGGTGAGTTCCCGGGAAGGAACTATACAGTTGGAAAAGTCATCCAACAACTGTATGATATTAGGAAAGCTTCAAACCCCAAACTTGCAATGACACTCAAATTGCTTATGAATTCGACATGGGGATATTCCATTAAGAAACCTCAAGAGATGAAGAGTAAACATTATGAGAAGGTCGACAACTTTGTTGAAAGGTTTTCTCCTTTTGTTTTGAAGTACGAATTCACTCAAGGTCAAAGTGGCTTAGTAACCACATTAAAACCTATTGTCGAACATTGGTCATACCCTCAGTTCGCAAAGGCAGTACTTGACAACTACAACAAATTCTTCTCCGAAGTCAAATCCAAAGTGAAGGTTTACTATGAGAACATCGACGCACTCATGACGAACGAAGAAGGGTACAACAAACTCATTGAAATGGGAATGGTCGGTGAAAAGATGGGCTGTTTTAAGCTAGATAAGGTATTTTCCGAAGTTCATGTCCTCTCCAAGCGTAAGTACTGGGGTGTTAAAGAAGATGGTGAAATAGTTAAACATTGCATGAAATAAAACATTGCATGAAGTAAAAACGTTTTTAAAACAATATATTTTTACATATATTAAATGCTTCAGGTTGAAAAACAAAGAACAAAAGTAGCAGATACAAAACCGTTAGACTATATCTTTACAAATGCTGGTAGGACTATTTCAAATGAAGAAATTTCATCCCGAGCTTACAGGTTTGACTATCCAATTCGTTGGCTTCAAAGTCCTTCAGATGCAAAGGCAATAGGATTTAGAAGAGTTTTGTTTTCAAATAGAACTAACGCATTTATGTTCGCAGTATATTTTCATGGGCAGTATAAAGGTTCTGATGGTCTAATAGACAAATTTGACGAAATGAGAATCTTTACAGTTCGTTCAGACGAAGGTCTTGAGAAAACTCTAAATGACTTTCAAACTCAAATGAACAAATATTATTGGGAATTTCAAAAAAAATACGACTCTTTACTAAATGGAACATACTATCTGAAAGTAGAATATGACAAGATGAACTCCACCGTTTCATTTCAAAAGATTGAAGTTAACCCTCCAAGAGATACAGAGTTTTTATATTGGAAAGTAGACAAACGTTCTTGGGCACAATTTCTTCGGTTACTAAACCAGAACGAACCATTACCACCAGATGGTCCATTTAAATTTATACTTCCACCAGCAGATTTGACAGTTTATAGAAACGTGTTTGACCCTCAAAATGTTATGTGTCATGCAAGTTTCAGTTCAAGCAACAATAGTTTTCTATGTATTGGTAAGGACTTTTATGACTTTGCTTCTAAATTCTACGAACCACCTAGTAACAGTTTCTCTGACTTTCAAGTTTGGTTCACAACAAATGGTGTGCAACATATTATTCCATTGTACTATGACTTTTATCTCGAATTGTCTTTCATATATAACTACGGAAAAGTGCTGAAAAAGTATTGAAAAATACTTTTAGGTGAAGAGGTGAGATCTCACCTGTTTTTTCACCTCTTTTTTCACCCGTTGAATTTTCATGAATTTCCCGAAATAAAAAATAAAGTTAGTTTTTTTAAAAAATATTTTTTATTTTTATTGTAAGAACATGTTAGCAACAACAGCACCAAACTCGTTAGTTATGAACCCAACTTCAATGTTAGTAGAGATGAAAAGCTTTATTCCTTCTTCATATACTTTTGAAACAGAAATCCAGAAGATAAAGCAAGAACTTCTCCAAGGAGATTTAGACTGTAGTGCGAAAGATGAAACAAATGAACAGTATCTTTAGGAAATGCAGGATATTATTGACCATCTACCTAAACTTCCTGAAATACAACAACAAAAACTCACTATTCCTGAATTTGACGAAATTGAAGTCAGACCAACTGACTCAGTAGAAATTAAGAAATTCATACGAAAGGTAAATTATGAGTTTCTTGGATTTCATTGCAACCACAAAGTTATGGACAAAGATTGCGACATGTTATATAAGAACATCTCTGACATATATAAATCTGAAGAATTTAAGACATACGACAACTTTGTTTCATTAGTTGCTGAATGTGTATGGCAGATAAGAGATAAAGATAAAAGATGTAAAATATGGAATGAACAGATAAGACCTGCATGTTTTGAATTTAAGAGGACCATTGACGCTATAGTTGTTTTAGCAGGTAAGGTTTCAATGTACAATGCTAAAATGAACCCACAATGTTCTAAATGTAAAGCAGCAATAAGGAAATATAACTATTCTGTCAAAGAGATAGAAAGAATGAGAAACGACTATGCAGACTTAAAGAAAGAACCAGAAAAGCCAGCAGAAGATAAAATGGACATGTTAGAATTTCTGAACAAAAACTATCCAACTGCAGAAGATTTCCTTTTATCTGACGTCAAGAAGAAGTATAAAGAAACCTTCGGCATAGTTAAAACATTCGATGTACTAAAAGAAGAAATAGAAGCTACGAAATTGTTTAGGATTTCAAATATACATCGTACAATTCATGTAAAACGCTTATAAAATAACTGAGGTGAAAAATTAGGTGAGAAAACAGGTGAGATCTCACCTCTTCACCTAAACATTATTTTTACTGAATTCAGCACAAAATTCTGAGTAAAATGGCATATGGCTTGTGTCAAACCGTTGAGTTTTCACAAAATTCCAAAAATGCTGTGGAAAGTTCGTTAAAAAAGTGAATGTTCCCGACGGTTTCAAACCGCCGTACTTTACATGAAGATAGTTTACAATGTCAACTAAATATCATGTACGATAGAAGTTTACATTTTGTAAAGTAGAACGATAGGATTTCCTGATGTCAGTCAGGACCCATCCTGATGTCAGTCAGGACCCATCCTGATGTCAGTCAGGACCCATCCTGATGTCAGTCAGGACCCATCCTGAAGTCATTCCATAAACCTTTCAATTTCGAAGATTTTGAGAGCATTCCATCCTGATGTCAATCAGGACCCATCCTGATGTCAGTCAGGACCCATCCTGATGTCAGTCAGGACCCATCCTGATGTCAGTCAGGACCCATCCTGATGTCAGTCAGTAAATTTTATCGTCCAACTTTACAAATGTAAACTTCTATCGTTCCAGTACCATATTTTCTTCGCTAGGGTCTAACACCAAATAGACCCTTTGTACTTGCAAATTCAATGCTCTCTCAATTTTTTTTGCAGAAAAGGAAAAAACCTGAACATCATCGGGACTCGAACCGAGGTCCTCGACACTTATGACAAGGGAGTCCATACCACTGAGCTATGAGCCGCTTACATATTTTTAGTAAAATATCATATATATGTTATATATGACACTTTTCATGCAATGAAGGTTATGTTGAAAATGACCAAACTTCATGAAAATCATGAATTTTTAATATTTCCTTAAGATAGAAAAAATAAAGTTAGTTTTATTTTTATTTATTTTTTTATTTTGTATGTAAAGACAGATATGTCAACAACAGAGAACACAACAACAGTTATAGTCCATGAAGCTATAAATGAAGAATATGAGTGGATACAATATAACAAACAACTCCGTCTCATTCGTTCGGTCAAAGACGATATGTACCAAATGCAAAGTATTTTGACAGCATGTTTTGCTCCAGACACTAAACACGCAGACGACTGGTTCAGAAACCAAAGCACACAAGAACTTTTGAGTGAAATTTCTCTAGACCGAGTTTTTTCGGGCTTGCATAAAACACATGAAAATCGTAAAAATTTGCCAATAAATTTAAGAGGATATTATGTACATAGACTTTTAGTAAATGCAGTTGCAATGTGGGCTTCTCCTCGTTATGCATGGCATGTTTACAGACTTCTTGACGAAATTCATAGACAAGAACGTGAAGAGATGGAAAAGAAACTTCATGCAAAAGATGAAGTCATTGAAGCAAAAGACAAAAGCATTCAGAAAAGAATACCACGTTCGGTACCAAAAGGTAAGGAAAAGAACTATAAGTATATGATTTATACTGAAGAGATGGAAAATGAAGAAGATAAAGATATGGTTATGTTGCATTTAGTCAGAAGAAACAACAAAAGCTTTTACGACCTTGCTAAGATTTACAAATCTGACAGAAATTGGTTCTATCGCGAAAACTTACCGATTTCAATGACTCCAAATGAAGATGTGAAACAAATAGTTCAAGATACTTTACCTCAAACACACTATGATATGAAAGGTTGTACAATTCTTACCTTCAAAGAAGATTTGCCATTGTTAAAGGAAAAAATAACAGAGTATTTTGACAACTTCAAACAAGCAGAGTAGATGAACCATTTATTTTTACGCTTGACTTCAGATGGCTCAATTAGGTAAATTAGGTAAATTGCCTCGTCAAATCCTTCCGACAGGAAGAACTCTTCCATCAGACAGAAAAAGTTTTTCCCGACAACTGGAAGAACTCTTCCATCAGACAGGAAGAACTCTTCCATCAGACAGGAAGAACTCTTCCATCAGACAGGAAAAATTTTTCTTGTTGTTCGTCCGTAAACCATTCAAATTTTCGAAAATTGAGAACTTTTTGGTCGAACTTCAGAAAAAGTTTTTCCTTCCAACAGAAAAATATTTTCCTTCCAACAGGAAGAACTCTTCCATCAGACAGGAAAAGTTCTTCCTTCCGACAGGACACAAACAGATGACTGACAGGAAGAGTTCTTCCTGAATGCCTTCCAAAGTCAGAAGAACCGACAGCCCCAGCACCACAACACACTTAGATTTTTTACGCTTGACTTTTTACAATTTGAACTTTGTTTGCGTAGATATGAATTCTGAAAGAAGTATGAGGGTCTTGTATGACTTTGTACTTCTCCCATAGTTCATGTCTGTCAAACTTACCTGCCATGGACTCTTTCATAAGTTCCATGAAATCGTCTTCGGACAATCCGGGGAAAAGTATAATATCAGTAAGTATTCTCTTTACATCCTTACTTAAACTCTTTGCTGTCTGTACACATATTACGACTGAGATGTTAAAGTGTCTGAACTTCTTAAGAATTCGACACATATCTTGTTCTCTGTTCTTTAACAAAGGATGAGAAGCAAAGTCATCTAAAATAAGAAGACATCTATGAGGGTAAGTCTTCCAATCGTAAGATTGCAATTTCTTCGAAATGTATTCTATCTCTTTCTGTTTGTTTCTGAAGTGTTTCTTCTCTAATATTCTCTGCATTTCCTCATTTGGGTCTTTAAACTTAGAATTTATATACTCATTTATAGCATTATACTTCAAAACTCTTCTTTGGTACTTCTTTATCCAATCTAACAACTCAGTATCCTTTATACATACTAACTTAGACTTCTTTATAATATCTTTGAACGAATTGACGGTTTGGTCAAATTGACCAGAAGTCGAACAAATGACTACTAACTCATAGAATGGGTTCTTCTCATCTAGTTCTTGTTGCTGTGCAGCCATTTTAAGATAAGTGAAAGTCTTACCAGACCCAGGTGGTGCAATTAGACCTGTTATACCATTCTGAGCAAATAAGAACTTGTCATGTATAGGTTTTATCTGAGCATTTTCTAACTTCCTCTTGTTCTTGTTTAAAACATTCTCAAATTTCTTGTCAATGTCAGCAAACTTTTTTTCTAACATATTTTTAGGAAAATTAAAATTTTTATCTTTTAGAAAATGTCTAGCGATTTTGCTATCTATATTCGAGACAAGCTTTTTGACAGCAAAACATCTGTAGACCATAAAATCTTACATAGTGTAAACAAGAAAGGTGAATTTGTTCTAAAGTTCTGTTTCTGGGAATATGACAAGAACCATAAAACATTACAAAGAGCAGTCTTAAAATTTGTCAATGACAGACTTGTTGACAGAGATGACGCCGATTGGAAAGATGAAGTCCAACAAAAGTTCTTAGAATGCAAAGAAGACACATGCGCTGTTCTTGAAGATGAAATAGAAAACAGAATAGAAGAGCTATTAAATGACAAAGAACTTTTACATAAATATGGTTCTGAGAAGTTTGACATAACTCCACCAGAAAAGAAGAAGAGAGAAAAGAGAGAAAAGAAAGAAAAGAAAGTAGAAGAAGAGAAGAAAGAACCTGAACCAGTTCCAGAGAAAAAGAAATTTGACATGTAAAAATAAAATTTTATTTTTAGAACATTTCTGGGTCAATGTCAATGTTCTCTTCCTCTTTAGGAGCAAACACTGGCTTAGACTCTAAAATCTTTTTACCCAATTTACCTTGAACTTCTACAACTTTAGACTCATAATATTCATAGTCGTCTGTCTTCTTTGGTTCATAAGGTATAACAAGTTTGTATGCTTTGCCTTCTTTAAGGTTTGAGAACCTTCTGTCAAAACTTTCTTTGACTGTTAACAAACCTTCTATGTCTAAGTCTTCAAATTTCGCACCATTTTTAGTCACAATAGCAAACTTAACTGGTTCGATGTTCCAAACTTTGCTGAATGAAGACTTTTCAAAATGGTAGAAGTAAACATTCAAATATGTGAATGGGTCTAGTTCTTCTTTAAGTCCTGACATGTACTTATTTACTGAGATGAATTTTGTCATCTTTTCTATCGGATAAAAAAATTTTTTTTTTAAAATTTACTCAGAAAAATTTTTCTTTGTATATACACCATTCTGTACGTCTAAAAGACTTTTGACATTTGCCAAGAATGTTCGTTTAGACTCTGGCATATAACCATACTCTTGACAATATTGTTTATACGAATCGTACAATGACCTTTCATCTAATGACACAAAGTCAGTTTCATCTATGAACAGTTCATATACACTCTTGTTTGCTTCTAACAATGTTTTTCTCTCTTCGGTATGTGGAATTTGTCTTGGATTGAAGTTAGAAATATCTAATGTCATGAAATATGAGAACAAGTGGTTGTAAAAGTCAGATGTCAAACATTCTGACAAAGCGTCAAAATATTCTGTATCTTGCATATGAGAATCTGACGTTCTGACAACTACATATCTTCTGTCAGAACTTTCTAACTTCATCGGAACAGCATTGTTTGAAACCATAATGAAGTTTGCAACATTTTCACAAACTCTTTGGTCTTTATACTTTCTTTCAACAACTCCAACTTTGTCTGTTATAAGACTCTTCAAAGCATCTGAGTTCAAAACTTTTGTTGTATCTATACTTTGAAGTTCATTGCAAACTATAAGTTTCATATTCTCAATTGAAGAGTTAAATTTACCGCAGATGTTTTCTAAGTTTGTCATATTCGGATTCGAATAACCTTCTAACAGTTTGCACAAAATATCTGTAAAGAAAGTATTCTTACCAGTTCCTTGTTTTCCAATTATAATGAGAGCAGTTTCATTTTTAGCACTTGGATGTTGTAAGATGTTTGCAAACCAACATAAGATATACTCATAGACTCTTTCGTTTCCATTGCATATAATTTCTTTGACATGGTCTAACCAAGCTTCTATAATACTGTGTTTCCATTCTACTTGTTCATATTTATATCCAGTGAAGATAGAATAGAAGTTTGGAGAAGGTGTATAGAACTTTATACCACGAACTGAAAAATCTTCTAACTTTGACAATAAGATATCCCAAGCATCTAACATCTTCATTCCAACTTGTACACTTTTATTTTCTTAAGTTTCTGTCTACATTCTTGTTCAGACACTATTGTTGCTCTTGGTTTGTTAAAGACAACATCCCATTCTTTCATGACATAACATTCTGGGGCAGAGTCGACATAAATGACTAAACGTTTCAAATTCTCGACTGCTTTGTTATAGTCTCGAAATGGACACATATTTCTGAAGGCTTGGAAGTCATAAAAATCTGAAACATCTATTCTGTACATTTTTATAAAAATAAAAAAATATTATTTTTTTATTCTTGACTTTGTTGTTCCATTTGTTGCATTTGTTGTTCTTGAGCTATTTGTTGTTGAAGTTGTTCTTGTAGTACAATACTTTCACCAGTTGCATCTTCCAATTCGAAACTTTCTGCCGTCATTGACAAATACATAGGACATAAAAGTTTTACAGGAACAAAGTTTGCGTCAACTAAGGTTAAGTTTATGTTTGCTAAAGTGTTTGAGTTTACTAAAGCTGAAAATTCTGCATTCGAATGAACAATAGGCAAACCAGCAGAGAATGTGTTGTTTATACGCATAAGTATCTTTTGGTCATAGTAGTTTCTGTCGACATTCGAATAGCACTTTGAACCTAAGTTTGAAACAATATATAAAATAGGTGTACTTAAAGTCAATGGAATAGACATTCCTTGTATGACACCTTTTCCTGTTATAGGAAATTGTTGGTAGTAAAAACCAGATATAAGTTTTGTATTATAGCTCATATCGTTTATAGTAAACTCAGTCGGACATCCAAACATAATGAAACCTGCTCTAGTTGCAGCACATGTTACATCCGTCCTTAAAGTATTAAATAAGTCAACAAAACCTGTTGGTGGTATATCTGAGTAAGTATCTTCAAAGGAGTATTTTTTACCATTTACAACAATAAAATCTTCTGGTGTCAAAAGAGCAAAACAGGCTTTAGTCGTCATTGTGTTTAAGGTTAGTTTACAATATCGTCCTTGAGGACTTTGTAAGTTTGTTGTTATAGAATTATATGACTCAGGGTTTTTAGTCGTAATAGTATAAACCATTATGTCTTCTGCCATTTTTATATATTTAAAAGTTTTTCTGAAAGTGGAGAAGAACTTCATCTAAACTTTCACATGGCGTTTCTTGAAGTTCTCTGTCTAAGAAGTTCAAATATTTTGTAAAGACATAGAACTTTCCTTTGTCTACACGAACAAACAAAACAGGGTCTTTCATATCGTTCAAAAGTGTGTAAAGTCCTTTACATGAAATAAAGTCTATATTATTTTCTTCAAACATCTTTCAAGAAGTTTTGACATTTTTACTTAGCAAATAAACTTTAATGAAATGTTGTGGTCGTCAAATATTTTTATGACGTCTGGGAAACTATATTTTAAGTTCAACGTTTCACCTCCTTTCATAACGTATATCTTGTCAATGACATTATATGAAACACCACAGCAAGCAATGTCGGGCTCTATTTCTTTGATGTTTATATCGTCTGCCTCTGTCAAAAGTTTCAATAGTTCTTTCAAAACTTCATGAGGTGCAATGACATATGAGTTCACTTTTACAGGGTTGTGTTCGACCAAGTTTAACATTATACCTAAAGCTTGACAAATCTTCTCCTGAGTTTGAAGTTTGTCTTTAAGTTGTTGGTAGTCATTTCGAATATCTGCAACAGAACTTAAGTCTCTGGTAACTTCAGGGTATGTTGGTTGTTCTTTTACAGGAACAATTGTTATACCATCTTCGTCTTCGTATGGTTTCCCCACTTCAACATCTCTTTCTTTGACATTGACAATAACACTTTGACTGTTTGTTTGAGTTGGTGAATTTAACTTCACATCTGCCACCGCCATTAAACCTTTTGAAACACTTACGCTTTTATTTTTCGGAAATGACATTTTACTTAGAATAAAAAGATGGACGTATTCGGATATCTTATTGAATTGAAGCAGAACAAAGTTTATACTCACAAACAATACAAATACATTGACAGAATAGTTCTTTACACAAACAATGGAAAATGTTATAGAATAGCAGTCTTTGCTGAACCTAAATATTTTCATAAAGCAAAGAAAGTTGGTATAACTGAAATGGTGAAAGTTCTTGAAGCAGACAAAAATATAACTTCAAAACTGACCGATATTACTAAAGGAAAGTTTATAATACAATATTATGTCAAAACTGGCGTACTGTCAATATTTGACGGAGAGAAGTCAGTTCAAGAACAACTTACTGACCTGCTGCCAAAATCTGCTCGATGGAAGCTGTCGTTATGCCAATCTGAGGAGCTCCAGCAGGTTTCATCGAACGAATCTTCAAAAGAGCATCTTCCGTGAAAAGTGCTATTGGTTTTGTAAACTTCTTTGCTTTCAATTCATCTGGACCGTCTCTGTCACCAGTATATTGTATTTTGTACAGTACCAACAGTTGAAATACCACCCATAAAGTCTTCTGAGTCAGCAAATGGAATGCCAAGCCAAAAGTTTGAACGGTCTCCATTTGTATATTGAGTTTTTTGACCTCCTGTATGAGTCCATACTTTCACATATGGCATAATAGAACTTTGCATTTCAGGGTTAATGGTTGTTGTGAAGTTGTTGTTAAAGTTCATAGCATCTAATGTCAAGTTGTATGACCTCATATCCTCAACTGTAGAATATTCTTCTCTTGGATAATATTTGCCATCTATGTTTATATGATATTTAATACCAGGGTTGTAGAAACAAGAATAGTCATTTATAGTTCGTCTGAACAGTACAAACATAGTATCTGCATGTTTCATTGCAGTTGTTAAAGCAATATCTGTTCTTGCACCTGGGTCAGCACTTTGGTTTCCAACTTCACCTGCAAAGTCTTTGACAGATATTTGGTGTATAGGGAACATAAGTGGAACTGCAATATATTTGGCAGCTAAAGCATTTGAAATATCTGGGTCCAACATATAGACTGCAAGTCTGCTTTCTATTCTCTTGCATTCAAATTTTTCGCATGTGAACTTAACTGTGTCCCAAGCAGTTCCAGCAGCATTGAAATAATAGTTTACTTCAGTGTTGAAGTTTGAGAAACCAAAGTCTAAGTCAACTTTGTCTTTGCAAAAGTCACAGAACTTGGCTCCACCAGTTCCAGCTACAGTAATGCTGAATGGGTCTTGTGTTGGTGCAATGACTAAGTTATTTTTGCTTGGAGTAAGTTCGATAGAAATTTTTCCTGCCCAGTTTGGCAAGTATCTTAAAAACCTGAAGATGAGGAAAGATGACAAAGGAACTCTAAGTTTCAGTTTTACTTTAGTGGCAGCGGTTCCATCTGAACCAGAAAGGTTAACATAAACTCCTGGAACGTTAGGGTCAAGTCTTCTTATTTTCTCAATAGTTGCATACTGGTCTGTTTGTTCTCTAGCTTGTGGTTGTACTGAGTTTCTCAAAGCGAACCATTCATAGTTTGCCCATGTTACTGTTTGAACTAAGTCAGAGTTAGAATATATCTTATATCCCATGAAAACTTCTGGAGCATATTGGTATCCGACATAGAAAATTCCATTGCAACCTTTCTTGTCAGACAACTTGGCAGAAGGTTTTATTTCAATGTCTTGTTCCACGTATAAGAATGAGTTGTCAATAGAAATAATATGAAACCTGTCGCAAGCAATATCTACTGTTGTTGAAGAACCTTCTCCAAACTCACCTACGTTTCCATAAGAAACAGCAGTTGTATATTCGTAAGTTCCAGGAACTATTTCTGACCTTCTAATGGCATTGTCGCATTCGTTATACCATTCGGAAACATTTCCGTTCATGGCATCCAAAACTGTTGGCGTTATATTCTGAGCGGCGTACATTTCATATGGGTAAAAATATAGAATAGTTGGATTTATGTGTCCTAATAGAACCCACTCGGACCAAGCTTTACTTTCTTCCTGACTGAGTTTTTAACTCTTCTTTTTCTTTCATTGCCACTACTTTCACTAGATGAAGTTACTTCTTCACTACTTTCACTTTGTTCTACTCTTCTCTTCTTCTTTGGTGTCGCTTTTGGTAACTTGCCCTCTGCTTCAAGTTGTTGCATCTTTGCCTCATGTTCACCTAGTATGTTGTAAATTTCCCATGTCCTTTTTGCCTTTGGGCTCTGGTCGCCCATCTCAGGTAACCTATATCCTAGAAAGATTTTGTCATAGTCTGTATTTGAGTCTCCGCGTATTGTTTGCATGACTCTTTCCTGAGTTTCCGGTTCAAGCTCTTCAAACAGTGCTTGTCCATATGGAATAAGCTCGTTTCCAAATATATGTTTTTGTAGCCATTCTGGTTTTCTTTCCATGTTACCAATAATATCTTTTGTGAATGGGAAAGCTTTTACCCAATGTTTCAGTCTTGCGTCATTTATTTCTGTAGTTGGTTTTATTTTGTCAAGGAACATGTTTTTCAATACTAACATTTCATTTGGTACTGTCCATTTGAGTTTTCTTAAATATTCATCCTTCTCATTTCATCGTCTGCAAAGTAAGTTTTTATGACATTTTGCAAACTTTCGTTTGCAAGGTCATGTACAATAGGTTCTCTTCCTTCTCTCTCCCTAACTCTCTTTCTAAACTCTTCACCAAATATACCATCTCTATGGTTCTGTGTAGTTCTTTGAGATAAATGTTCTAGAACGTCAGATGTTATATTTCCATCAGCCATGTTCATTTCAGACTGGTCCAAAATATCTGCATGTTTCATATCTTTCAATGGCATTAAAGCCGCGCTGAAAATACCAGCTATATCTGGTTCACCATTCACTTCCATTGCGTCTACAACTTCTTGGAATTGTGGTTGTAAGTTTATGAACCACCTATCCGGATTAGCTTTATGACCCCATCTCATTGTAGTTCCATAGTCTGCAGAAACAAAAGTAGGTTTGTTTCCATATTGGCTAGGTTCTGAATGAACTTTAAACAATGTTTCATTTCTATATGTTTTGTTGAAATTTAACCTTTTATTTTCACCGAGTTCAGCCAAAGATTGAACGTTATGTGGTCGTAAGTAAAAAAGATTATTGTATTTGTGTACATTTTCTTTCAGTACTTCCATTCTATGCTGAATATTTTCATCTGATGTTGGAGTCTTTTGTATGTCGGCGAACATTTTTCGATATTCTTCTACCATGTCAGCCGAATTTTTCTTAGACTCTTGGAAAGATTCCATATTCACCTCATACTCTTGTTGAGGGTCAAGATTTTTCGGCTGTTCCAAATCTTCATCTAGTTCTGTGAAGTTAGTTTCCAAAGAGGAACTTGTTCGTTTCCTTCAGGCTCTTCTAGCTGTTGTTGCTGAACTATTTCTTCCATGTCTGGTTGTATCTGAACTTCTTCCTGTGGAGTTTCTTGTACCTCATCTGCTGGCATTTCATATATTCCGAGACCGTTTTCAACAAGTTCCCTATTTAAGTCATCCGCATTCATAACCCTTTCTTCTTTCGTTCCGTCTCTACTTTTTACGCGTTTCATGAAGATAGTTGAATTATCATTTATCTCTGACATCCAATATCTCGGAGTAAATTCAGTCATGTCATTTGGATGATATGCTATTAAATCATATCCCTTAGCGAGCTTGTATTTTCCAGGTTTGAGATTATATCTGATTTGGTGCTGAGCCATAAAGCTAAATAGGTTCGGGTCAATATTTCCTTCCTGGAACTTTCTAATAGCTTCTTTATATCTGTCACTAAAGTCAATAGTATCTGGGTAACCATACTCTTCTTTAAGCATTTTTAAGAATTCTTGGTTTCCTTGTTCTCTACTTCTTTTATGTCCTTGCTCTGTTTGTGGTTGCTGTGCTGGTTGTGGAGGTGGTTGTTGCTGTGCTGGTTGTGGAGGTGGTTGTTGCTGTGCAGGATTTTGAACTGTTGGTTGTTGTGCTGGTTTTGGTTGTGGTGCAGGTGCTGAATTTTGAACTGCTGGTTGTTGTGCAGGGTTTTGAACTGTTGGTTTTGGTTGTTGTTGTGGTGCTGGATTTTGAACTGTTGGTTGTTGTGCAGGATTTTGAACTGTTGGTTTTGGTGCATGCCTGCGTCTGTGTCCATGTGACGATGTAAATGTTTTAGGTAGTCCTGGTGCAGGTGCTTCTCTTGGAGGGTTTGGTGGTATATAAGTTCCACTAGCTAGTATATAAGTTCCACCAGCTGGTATATAAGTTCCACCAGCTGGCACATATGTTCCATCTGCAGCATAATGTCCTACCTGACTTTTCGTTCTTAAGAAAGCATTTACTAGGTCTGTTTTGGTCTGTTGTAACTCTTTTTCTTGACTTTCCACAACAGTTGCTCTAACGGCGTCATAGGCACTTTGAACTGCCTGTCTCGTTGCTGCATCTGTTATTTTCGTCATATTTTCTGCTACTTCTTTTAACTCTTTGTCGAAACCTTCAGACTTCAGTTTCTTTCCAGATGAGAAGTCGTTCACTAGTTTCACCTTACTATGAAGAGCTTCGAAGGCGTTCTTAAAGTCAGCATTCGTTAAAGCTTCATTTGAACTGTCTTCATCCGCTTGTATTTTTGTCCTTATTGACCCTATAAGTTGGGCTGCTTTAGCGTTGGCTTGGGCATCTAACCAGTCATTGTTAGCTTTTATATATTCTGTGCTTTTCATTGCCTTTTGCATGGCTGCGTCGTTATTTTTACTTTCTTGTGCTAAGTTTTCATACTGTACGGTTTGGTTTTGCAACTGTAAAAGTTTTTCTGCCTTTACATTTGCTTCAACTTCTTTTTTATACTCATCGCTATCCATATATGTCTTCAGGGCTTTTTGTTTTATCTCTTCATCTTTCAGTACTTTATATTGAGTAGTATGGTTTTTCAAATTTATAACATCTTGTTCCATTTTTGCTACTTCTGCTGCTTTTTCTGACACTTTTTTCGCATATTCCTCTGTACCTAGTTCTTTCAGTTGTTCTTCTTTCTTCTTTTTCTCTACGTTTAACTCATTGAGTTTCTTTGTGTGTCTGTCATATTCTAGTTTCTTTTCGTTTTCACTTATTTGTTTCTGTATGTCTATGTTTGACTTTTTGACATCTGTTATTTGATTTTTGAGTGAACTCAAATTCATTTGACTTTGAGGGTTATAAGCTGTTCCGTCTGCAGCTCCACCATAGCCTGCCATTTTCGCTAAAAGTGCCGCTCTTAAACCTCCACTCTGTGCACCAATGACTCGGTTTAAAAGCATAGGGTTGCTTGACATTTGTTGCAACATAGTGGGGTCATTCAGCATTTGTTGTTGCAACTGTTGTTGTGGTGTCAGTTTTACTATTGGATGTTTCAATGCTCTCTTCCTCTTACGTATATTCTTACGTAGCTTACGTGGCATTTTAAGTAAAGTTAAAAAGCGGTTTTTGACAGATGGAACACATACTTTTTCAGTAAGGACATATGGGGTGAAAAATTAGGTGAAAAAACAGGTGAGATCTCAACTCTTCACCTAAAATATATTTTTGCCGAATTCTGTATAAAATTCTGAGTAAAATGACAGATGTTTATATGACACTTTCTCCGGTTTATAGGACCTCTCTCATATTCTATCTTGTCATATCTAAACTCATAGTCATGTATGTCCTCTAAACTTCATTTATACTAAACATCTTCAGGGCTAGAAGGGGCGCAGCCCCTGGAAGCCCCACTACCTTTTTTTTTTTTTTAAATCATGAATGGAATCAATGGAGTCATAATCAAAGACCCCATAAACGAGTAAAAGAAATTAGAAATAATTATTTTCATGAATGAAAGATTCACTACCATAATGAAATAAAAAATAAACTTTAAAAATTCTTGTCTCAGAATCAACATAGAACTTTAAGAAACTAATGATTATTTGAATTTATGAAATCAATTATTTGATTCATTCTTTCTTCAATAATTTCTATTCTTTTTGTTAAAGACTCAATTTTCATTAATGAAGTGATTCTTGATTACGGAATAGATTTCAAACTAATCACTCCTTTTATTTTTGAAATTTTGAAACCATCAACTTTAAACATTTTATTCAATTTACATGTTGTCAATTCTTCAAATAATTTTTTATTCTTTGCGTAATAGTCATTAAATTCTTCAACAGATGAAAAAATTTTTGTTTCAGTAATGGGTTTAACAATGTTTATTTTATTTTGAACATCTTCACTTTCATTTATTTCTTCCTCCTCTGTTTCATTTATTTTTAAAATTGGTTTCATTTATCATTAATTAAAAATTAGAATATATGTGATGAAATATATTTTTTAATTAATATTAAATCAGAAATGGCGGCAGGATTCTTTAAAAAATTATGGGATGGAATTAAGAAAGCTGCAGGTTGGGTTCATAAAAATATTATTAAACCCGTTGCAAACTTTTTGGCACCAGTAGCGAAAACGGCAGGAACTATCATAGGTGGAGTATTAGGTACTAAAGCAGGTAATCCGGCGATGGGAGCACAAGCAGGTAACGCAGTTGGTGGAATAGCTGAAGGAATACTTAATAAAATAGGAGGTAGATAGTGGAAAAATAAATAAATATTATTTTTATCTTAGTATCGGTTGAAGTCTTTGATAAACTTTTTCTCCTTTATTTAATATTTCTCTTATTGGGGCGGCTTTTGGCGTTATTGATTCAGCAACGTCACTAATTGCTTCTTTATTCTTAAATATCCAATTTGCTCCTTTCTTCATTGTTTCCCAAACTTTATGCGCTCCTCTTTTTACTTTATCCCACAGTTTCTTAAATATACCTGCAGCCATAGTTGATTATTTCATTAAAATTAAAAATTCATTTTCATCTTTTAATTTTGATTTTTTATTTATTAATAAATGACGACTAACTATTTGGTGCCAAACACTAAACCGATTAATGGAAATGTATTTCATTCATTCGAAAAGATAAATGAAATATTCGCAAAGAATGACGGTAGAAGATATTATAGAGAACTTGAAAGTTCATGCTATGACTCTGATGCTCCATATTTTGCTGATAAACAAACTCATTTAAGAATTACAAATCCGGCTCATGATGTGAACCAATTAGGTGACACATATATTAAACGCAAAGTTAAAGCAACTCTAGTTTCAAATAAAGCTTTCACATGTGATGCCGCTTTTAAATGCATGCGTTTATTCGTTGGTTACAAATCATCAAATCAAAGCTTTAAACAATTAGAAGTAGAAACCGAAAGAGGTGATGCCGGTTATCTTCAGATGGATTGCGCCCGTGAATCTTTCGCATTTGCAACATATAAACCAAAATCAGAAAGGAAAGTTAAAAAGTTTGTTCATTCGTTATATAATAATGTTCAAAAATATGATAACTCAGTATGTGGTAAATATATTGACCCCTCAGAAGTTTTCAAGAGAGCAAATGAAGAAGTTGATGTCACTTTTGATATGATTATTCCAGTAAATGATTTGTTAGCATTTCAGGCGTTCGATGATTATCCCAAATCATTTGGTGATATCATTTTGAAATATTATGTTTTCAGGGATACTTTGGTATTTTGCCAGGTTGACCCGTTAAGAGTTGCAGATTTACAAAATTATGTTTATGAAAAGATAACTGATGCAAATTATGAAAAGATTATGAATCATGTTTATAAATACGATCGCAAATTCCAACAAATCGGACTTCCTGCCAAATTAATTACAAGCTTAGCCGAGACAACTGCTGACGCAACAGTTGATGACGTTATTATTTCATGCACAAAGATGGAAGTTTTAGAGGATAAATGCATTACACCAGGATACGGTTTAATTGAAGAATCAGTTAAAGCAATACCACGTTTATTCAGTAAGGAAGATCCATTCATGATTCCAGCTCAACATATTGACGTTCGTTCACTAAATGGAGGTTGCATCACTCCTGAAGGTATCAGCTCAGATTTCTCATACGCTCTTCATAATGTTACAGATGTTGTGTTAACATTTCCGAAGAATGCAATGCAAAGAACAGTTTTAGAAAATCCAATGCTTCGAGGTCTTCAGGTCACTATAGATTCCAGAAACTTCCCCGATCAAGCGATGACCACAGTGGGTGACATATTCTTTACACGTATGCTTCAAGCTTCTGATTTAGATGGAGTGAATGAATGCACAGAAGAATACGAGGACTCATTAACTAGACACTGAATGATGATGATGGCACACCATTAGCTAGAACATGGAAAGACCAAACTTCATTCTTATGCACTATTCCAGTTCAACGTGATGGAGCGGGTATATTCTTTGATGGATTAGAAACTTTCAACTCACAAGTTACAGTACAAGTGAAAGCTTATCCAATCATTCAGGGTGTAAATGACACTTACTGTTCAAAGGTGACAAATCCTCCTCAGGTTTGGTTTACTAGGACTACGTATTGGACATGGACACCGGATGAAGGTTTGAAATATCATCCAACAGGTACACCACCACAGTATAGAAGTTCATATGATGAAATATTGATGAATAGAAATGTTTAAAATTATAAATTTATTTTTGATTAAATGGATTTAAATTCATCCACCCCTTATGAAGAATTAGCGGGAGTATATAATACATACGTAGATGATATGATTAATGAAGCATTGAGTGATAATAGAAATGCTCTATCTAAGGAAAAATTAATGAAAATTCCATATTCTGAATGTTACTTAAATTCAATCACTGCGGCAATTGGTAAACAAAATAAAGGCAAAACATTAACGATATTAAAACAAATTATCATTATTGCTAACACTTCCCCCTATTCACATGTGTTAATTTATATCAACCGTTCAGGTTCACCTTCAGATGATACATTTGAATCTTTAAAGCATTTAATCAAAATTCCAATTATTTATTTATCACAAGAAGAAGCGGAAGATTATTTGAAAAACTTTTTAATGTATAAAGAGTTATATAATACAATCAAGAAGCAAGGATTAGAGGATAAAATTATTGATAAACAACGGGATGAATTATTTGAAACACTTTCTATTTCAAATTTTGATAAAGAATTTTTGCATTCACTCATTTTTCTAGATGATGCCGTGAAATCAAAACTAATAACTAATGAGAAATCATATTTTAATCAGTTATTAACTCAATGTCGACACATTCAGTGTTCATTCTTTATGGCTGTTCAATATTTCAAAGCATTAAGTACAAACATTAAATCAAATCTATCAACCCTTTTCATTTTCAGTGGGTTTAGTCGTCAACAGTTGAACGTTATGCTTTATCAAGTGAATTTACCAATGAGCATTAATGAACTTTGCACACAATATCAACAATTAGGAGAACATGGAAAAATAATAGTTGATTTAAATAAAGGTTCCATTAAATTCGAATAACTTTTTTATAATTAATTTTTATTTTTTATTTATAATTAAACATGACAGAAATTGCAAATCTTCTACAGGTTCCATTAAAACAAGGGACAAACAAAAAGGGTGCATATAATAGAACTATGAAAGTTCCAGACGGAATGAAAAAATTAGTCCACATTGTTGCCGGTCTTCAAAAGGATGTTAAACAAATGAGAAACGTTTTAACATTACCAGAAGCTCAAGCATATGCCAAACGTCATGGACCAAATTGGGAAGCACATGAAGCAGACATTACAGGACCAAATGGAAAGCCTGATGGAATAAATGAAGTCTTTGTTACTGATGGTCAAGGAAATATTAAAGTCATAAATGGGTATAAATTAACAATGACGGATTATCCTAAACGTAAAGCATATAATGAACGTTATCCTATGAAATTTGATGTAAATGGAAAAGCTGTTAAACAACATATCGGAGACAGTAAAGATGGACCAATTCTTTCATACCGTCATAATCCATATTCTTATTTCAATGAAGAATTAAACGCTATTGAAGAAGGACCAAACGGATTACCTCAATATGTTAATCAGTTTGATGGTCAATATGCAAATTTGAGACCTGAAATTCCAGCTAAGAAATTCTTTAAAGTTGCTTTATTCGATCCAGTGTTCAATGAACAGAAAGAAGCAATGAAAGCAGAATTGAAACCAATTCAAGTGGCAAGAATTTCTTCATCTTCACTTTCAGAAGCGTTCAAGGAATTGATAAAGAAACCACTTTATTCTCAACAAGGTTATAACTTTGATTTAATTAAAGAAAGTGATAGACGTAAATTAGAAAAATCAGATGGTTTTAAGAATGCATGTAATGAAATGATTAAAGATATTGTAAATGATAAAATAAGACTGGAAGAAACTCAAATCATTATCAATAACATAATTGGTGCAGTTACAAAGAAAGTATAAGCAAACAAGGATGAACCTTGGGATATTGCCGTAACAACTAAATAAAACTTTAAATATATTTTTCTTTTTTTATTCAATTATAAATGAGAAGACGTTTCACAAGTCAAAAGAACACAAACGCAAAAGCAGAGATTACGGTTGGTTATAACGTAAATGATGATAAATCACGAATTATTCAAAATGTTAAAGTTAATGTTAGCCCTGAATTAACAAGGTCAGCAACTCAACCAAATTTATTAACTCGTGACTTACCAAAGAAAGAGGAGGAGCAAAATAAAGAAGATGAAGACCCAATCATTTTATCTGAACCCGGTAAAGAACCCGTTGAAATCCCCACATATCCAACATACCCCCCACCTCTTTCATCAAACATCGAGAACCCAGGAATCTACGATTCCAGTCGCAATGCGCCATATAAAGTAGACATTAATTCTGAATTAATGAAAATTTACCGTGATATAATAATTAATAATTATAATTCAATAATAAATTTAATTGATCAATCCGGTTTAATTATTTTACCTTATGAATCATTAATTCACATTATCGCCATTCTTTGTGATGTTCAAGATTCAGACGTTAAGATTCAATTTTTCATAGATGATGAGGTTTCATGCTGCGGAACAGTTGCAAAAATAAATCCTATAAAGGATATTAGCACAATTAAGATATCAAAGAACGGAACAACAACTGAACTACATTTAACTTATAATAACATATACAATAAAATAGTTGATGAATATAAAATATCACTTGAAAAATTCTTTGTTAAGGCTATTTAATATTCAAGCATTAACATTATCGAATAATAATCCTTTGAATCATAATCGATAATAATTGACCTTTCACCAGTTTCTATCGTTTGTTTTATTTCTTTTTGTTCCCCACTATCTGGATCGGTCATTGTAATTGTTTTTGTTATAGTATCAGCTTTATCTTTAACTTCAATCTTTTTTCCATCGGGATATTTAAACCAAAATTCCAAAAATTCAATATTGTCAATCTGTTCATATTTTATGTCTGCAGAAATAAATGTAATTAATGTAATTAATTAGGTAATGAAGTAATGGATGAACTGCAGAAATAAATGTTTCCGTTAATGTTTTCGTTAATGGTTTCGGGTTATTCAATAATTAATTATTTTTGAAGAACTGAAGGTGTCACTATGTCACCATGTGTCACTCGGTAATTTAACTTCTCTGAAAAAATGAGACAACATGACATTTAGACAACAGTCCTGGAAATATGATGCAGTCCAAAAATAAAGTTAGTTTTAAAATTATTTTTATTTATTTTTTTATTTTGTATGTAAGAACAGTAATGTCGGTCGAAGCAAAAACATTCACGAACAAATCTAATGGTGAAACATTCACAAAAGGCACTTATAATGGTATTGAAGTCTTACGTAGAGACAAGGATGGTTACATTAATGCAACAAAGATGGCAAGAGAAGCGGGAAAGTTAAACCATTTAAACAGATTTCTCAATAGTACTAAAATGCAGGAAATTCTTGAGTTTTGGATGAACGAATATGGTGGAGCCAAAAGTGGCTCGACCTCAAAACAAGCATTTTATGAGCTTACAAAGGGTGTCATGAATGAATTCAAAGGTATTTACATACATCCTGACCTCGTTCATTTTGTTGCTGAATGGTGCTCTGTAAAGTATGCATTTTATGTCAAAGATATTATGGACTCCATAGACAAGAAAGTTCATGAGAAATTAGATGAAGAAGAACTCGAAGATACAGTAGAGAATGATAAACCTTTGTTCGAACAAGAAGTTGGAAAAATGTGCGAAAAACAATTAGAACATGAACGTGAGTTATGTTATGGTTATAGAGATTCTCCATTCGAACTAGACCAATGGGAACAAGAAAATTTAAAGAGAGAATTTAGAGAATATGAACTCGCAAAGATAGCATTAGAAGCTGCAGAAAAGAAGTTAAAAGCTTGGGGTTGTTTTGTACAAAAATATTGTGAGTAAATGAACCATTTATTTTTGTCATAAAGACGCAACGTGGCGGGGCATAGCCCATGACCAAAAATATATTTTATCATTAATGTTTTCGGATTATTCAATAATTAATTATTTTTGAAGAACTGAAGGAGTCACCAGGTCAATGTACTTCTCTGAAAAAATGAGACAACATGACATTTTGACAACACAGGAGGAAGGCAGTTATGAATTATTTTTGAAGAACTGAAGGGGTCACCAGGTCACCAGGTCACCAGGTTAATGTACTTCTCTGAAAAAATGAGACAACATGACATTTTGACAACACAGGAGGAAGGCAGTTATGAATTATTTTTGAAGAACTGAAGGGGTCACCAGGTCACGAGGTCACCAGGTCAATGTACTTCTCTGAAAAAATGAGACAACATGACATTTTGACAACACAGGAGGAAGGCAGTTATGAATTATTTTTGAAGAACTGAAGGGGTCACCAGGTCACCAGGTCACCAGGTTAATGTACTTCTCTGAAAAAATGAGACAACATGACATTTTGACAACACAGGAGGAAGGCAGTTATGAATTATTTTTGAAGAACTGAAGGGGTCACCAGGTCACCAGGTCACCAGGTCAATGTACTTCTCTGAAAAAATGAGACAACATGACATTTTGACAACAACACAGGAAATAAACTTCATCGTATATGCTTTGTCATGATTTCATCGTATATGCTTTGTCATGATTT